CTTGTAGATGTGGCAGGTGCCTGGTTCCCTGCTGTGGCTCCATCCACCAAGTGCTACGGTCCTACAGGACAAAAGAGTGACATTGGGACTGATGGATGGACCCACAGGGCACAGCAAGGGATTGGATTTAACCACAAGCATATTTTATTCTGAAGATTCTTCGTCAGCTGTAGTTCTTTAACCACTTCAGCTCCGGAAGGTTTTACCCCCTTCATGACCACACCATTTTTTTTTTTGCTATACCGCTCTGCGCTACTTTAACTGGTAATTGTGCAATCATGCAAAGTTTTATCCAAACAAAATTTAGATCAATTTTTTCATACAAATAAAGCTTTCTTTTGGTGGTATTTGATAACCACTGGGTTTTTTATTTTTGCGATAAAAATGAAAAAAATATCGAAAATGTAGAACAAAAAAAAAAATATTTTTTACGGTTATAAAACATATCCAATAATAATAAAAAATAAAAAAAAAATCTAATTTCTTCATAAAAACTTTGGCTAAATTTATTCTGCTACATGCCTTTGATTAAAAAAAAAAATCAAAATAAGTGTATAATGATTGGTTTGCGTGAAAGTTATAGTGCCTACAAACTATGGCATATATACTTGATTTTTTTATTTTTTTTTTTACTACTAATGGCTGAGATCAGCAACTTATATTAGGACTGAGGGAGTGTGGCAGGCAATCTGACACTATCTGCTAGTGACATCAACACAGATTTCAGCGAGAAAACTATACACGGTCACTGTACTAATGGCACTGGCTGGGAAAGGGTTAACATCTAAGGCAGTGGTTCTCAACCTTCCTAATGCCGCGACCCTTTAATACAGTTCCTCATGTTGTGGTGATCCCCAACCATAAAATTATTTACCCAATAATTATAATTCATGAAGTGTCGTTTTACCTCCAATACTACTGCTTTTAACAGAATAGCTGCTTTCAACACAGCAGCTGTTTTTTTACACATCGGAAATATGTGTTTTTCCGATGGTCTTAGGCGACGACCTGTGAAAGGGTCGTTCGACCCCCAAAGGGGTCGCGACCCACAGCCTGAGAACCACTGATCTAAGGTGATTATGGGGTTAAAGTGTGCCTAACTATGTGTAATGTGTGCTGCTTTTGCTATGCGATCCAAGGAACCCTGCCAAGCGGGGATGAGAAACTTATAGATCAATCCCTCTGTACAGAGCTCTGTGTTGTGTGCCAGCACAGAGCTCTGGGCTGTGATCATACACAGCCAATCAGCAGGTCCCGGCCGTGGATTATTGGCTGGGACTTGCTGACAGACACCTGCTGTGTACAAACACAGTGGGTGCTGGCAGGGGGAAGCTCACGTGTGCGCCCAAAACCTGGAAGTAGGCAGCGATATACCTGTACCACCCACTGGCAGTACTCTGCGGGCGGGCAGTCATGAAATGGTTAAAGCAGTAGTAAACTCATTTAAAAACACAAAAAACAAGCAATAAGCTGGCCCCAAGCAGGTTAATGCCATACTGTGCTAGTATACACCGCATACTAGCCAATATGGCAGACTTACCTGTCAAATGATGCCCTTCAGAGGTGCGCTGTCACTGTTGCCACAGCTGCCATCTTCACCTAGTCTTCCTTCCAGATTACGTGCTCTGACTGTTTGAATGGCCAGCTTGCGATGACATCACTCCAGCGCATATGTACGGAAGTCACAATCCCGGCACAGCGCTATGAACTGACTCAGTTTGTCATCAATAATGAGCGCAGTGTGCATGCACCCATGAAACAACTGGCTGCTGAAGTTGTGAATATCTCCTAAATGGTGAACGTAGGTACAAGTTTGAAATGAGAGTTTACATACCCTGCACAGAGCAGGTATGTATAGCATGTTTGTTATTTAAAAAAAAAAAAAAAAAAAAAATACTCCCTTTAAAATCACTTTAACCACTTCCCGTCTGGCCCATGTACATAAACGGCCAGATGGGAGCAGTGCAGGAGCGGGTTGCCATTCATAAATGCCGCCTGCATAGTCAGGTTGTGCGCACTCCCTGGGAATGCGTGGCACAGTGATCAGGTGCCCGCTATGTCCTCCGGACACAGTGGAACACCGATCACTGTACGGGACCTCTGTGTAAGGCCCTGATTGTGTGATCCCTGATTGGCCAATCAGTGATCACATGAATAGTAGTAAGCAAGATGTCACTTCCTGACATCATTGCTTACTCCTAGTGAAATCTGTGAATGATCACAGAGATCATATGGTACAGGGCCATTCACAACAGCCTTATACCATGTGACAAGCTGTGACCAATCACAGCTCGCACAGTATTTCTCAATGGCTGCAGGAATGCAGCCAGAGAGGAGAAATGATTGCATTTACAGCCTTTATGGGTGTAAAAGCAATCAGTGTAAAAAAAAAAAAAAAAAAATCTTCATCACCCCCCCCCACAAGTAGTACAGTGTCACTATGCTGACACTGTACTGCTAGGGTGACAGTATGTTAAAAAAAAAAACCATAAATAATATTAAAAAAAAAAAAAAATTAAAATTAAAAAAACTATTTTGAAAAATGATAATTTTTGGTTATAAAACTAATTTGGGTTATTTTTTTTTTTACTAAAAAGATAGAGGAATACATTTTGGCCAAGATTTATTAAGAAAGATTATTTATTTGCAACATTTTATAAGAAAAACACTTTTTTTTTTTCAAAATATTTGGACAATTTCTCTTATATGGAAAAAAAAAAAAAAATATATCCCAGTGGTGAATAAATACCACCAAAATAAAGCTTTATCTGTCTCAAAAAAATGCTAAAAAATATGGGTACAGTGTTGCATGACCGCACAATTGTCATTCAACGTGTGATAGCGCTGAAAGCTGAAAATTGGCCTGGACAGGAAGTGGGTGAAAGTGTCCAGACTGGAAGTGGTTAAAAAGGGCAAGTCTAGCCATTTTTTGTGTGTGTCTGTGGTCTTCTTCTGAGCGAACATTTTAAAATTCCCTTGTGTGTACAGTGCGTGCATATGGCAGGCGTGCTCACAATGCAGTGACTGTGGTGCCATTAGACAGCGAAGATCGCAGGCCAAATCTAAAGAACCAATTAGAGTGGTTCTGTGCCATGTGATCGCTGTGAACCAATCACAGCCGTAAACACTGTAATAGTAACCAGGTTCTTAAATGATGAATGAATTGTTTACTCTGTAGGGTATCTGGCTGCTGTATAGTGTAAAATTTAAAAGCCCGTGGTTAATAAACACCATCAAAAGAAAGCCCTAACCGTCCGATATAAATTCATTGGGGTGCACTTCTGCATGTACTAGTCAGTCAAACTATCACAGCACTGAAAATGGAAAAAAAAAGAGGAGTGTAACATGCCAGTATTGAGGGAGTTAAACAGTAAAAAGAATTGTCTGTACCTCATAAGGATGGAAATGTAAGGATTTGTGACTTATTTGTAGAATTCTTTTCTTGGAGAAGTGCAGCATAGGATGCATACTCCCATTAACCAAGACCTTGGGTTACATGCTACCAACTTCAGGTGAGGACACTGGCAAAGTTGTTAGGACAGTCCATATAACCCCTCCCACTCCCAGCAATCCGCAGTGTTTTTTTTTCTTTAACTAGCAGGTACCAGGATGTGGCCTGTGTCCTCTACTCCAAGAAAAGAACTTTATAGGCAAGTAAAAGCTTATTTCCTAATTGTACACTACAAAACACAGGCTTCCATTAGCCTAGACCAGTGGTCTCCAAACTGTGGCCCTCTGCTCGCCTTTATCCAGCCATGGGCGCTGTTCCTCTCATATATATGAGGTACTGTTCCTCCCACTAACACCAACGGTGACGCATTATTCCTTCTACTGACACCAACAGTTGGGCACTATTCCTCCCACTGATACAAATGATGGGGCATTATTCCTCCCACTGATACAAATGATGGAGCACTGTTCCTCCCACTGATACAAATGATGGGGCATTATTCCTCCCACTGATACAAATGATGGGGCATTATTCCTCCCACTGATACAAATGATGGAGCACTGTTCCTTCCTCCCACTGACACCAATGATGGGGCACTGTTCCTCCCACTGACACCAATGATGGGGCACTGTTTCCTCCCACTGACACCAATGATGGGGCACTATTCCTCCCACTGACACCAATGATGGGGCACTATTCCTCCCACTGACACCAATGATGGGGCACTATTCTACTCCCTACTCATCCCAGGCGCTATGTAATTTTTTTTTTACTCCCACTGATCACCAAGCTTTTGGCATTGTTTTTGCTCCTACTTGTCACAGTCCAGCCCCATTAATCCTTGAAGGACAGTAAATTGGCACTTTGTTTAGAAAGTCTGGAGATCCCTGACCTAGACCATCAGACATCTCCAAGCATACAACTAAGGGAAGGGCAACACAGCAAACAATGCCAAGAGGTCTAAAATAAAGGAATCCAATTTCCAAATGTGAAACACCTTACAATGGCAGCTGCCATCAGCAGAACCCCATACATCCACCTGGTAAAACGTAAAAGTGCGAACAGAGGCCTGGGTGTCAATCTTGCAAATATGAAAAAGAGGCCTGACGCTAATAAATGGTGCTTGCAGCAGATGTCAAATTCTAATTTGAATAAATCTAGTCTCCTACACTTTCATGACAGGGCTGTGCTATGTGAAAAAGCTGTGTAGATCTCAGGACTGGATGGACAGAGTCCCCTGTCTGTGTTCATCAGTGTATTTAGCCATTTTCCTGAAGTTTAGATTGAAAGGAAACCAGTTGAATTCAATGTACTTTCCAAGTGCTCCCAAACCCAAAGTACCTGCTTGTGTCCCCTCTTTATCTAGTACACAGGGATTCCTGGTGGGGTTGGTGATGAGTTGGCCACAGAAGCTGTGGTCCAAATTTGCACTGCACTGGATACTCTAGAAATAATCAAAAGCTTAAGAAGGGATCTGTTCTCTCAACCTGATGCCAATATAGAAGGTACAGCAAAACCAATAGGTTCATTTTAAAGTCCTTGAACTGTTGTGTTACCGAACCCTGAATTAGGAAGTCATATTCTCTGGATCCTTTAAAGAGACCCTTCTGCTTAAAGTGTTAATAAACCCAGGACCCTGCATTCATTATATCCACTCTCCCCGGACCCTGCATTCATTATATCCACTCTCCCCGGACCCTGCATTCATTATATCCACTCTCCCCGGACCCTGCATTCCCCGTATCCGTTCTCCCCCCCGGGCCCCGCATTCCCCGTATCCGCTCTCCTCGGGCCCAGCATTCCCCGTATCCGCTCTCCCTGGACCCCGCATTCCCCGTATCCGCTCTCTCCGGACCCCGCATTCGCCATATCCGCTCTCCCCGGAACCCGCATTCCCCGTATCCGCTCTCCCCCCCCCGGACCTCGCATTTCCCTTATCCGCTCTCCCCGGACCCACATTCCCCATATCCGCTCTCCCCGGACCCCGCATTGCCCATATCCGCTCTCCCCGGACCCCGACCCCGCATTGCCCATATCCGCTCTCCCCCGGACCCCGCATTGCCCATATCCGCTCTCCCCGGACCCCGCATTGCCCATATCCGCTCTCCCCGGACCCCGCATTGCCCATATCCGCTCTCCCCGGACCCTGCATTCACTATATCCGCTCTCCCCGGACCCTGCATTCATTATATCTGCTCTCCCCAGACCCCACATTCCCCGTATCCGTTCTCCCCCCCCTCCCCGGGCCCCGCATTCCCCGCTCTCCCCGGATCACATTCCCCAGCTCTCCCCGGGCCCCGCATTCCCTATATCTGCTCTCCCCCGGACCCCGCATTCACTATATCCGGTCTCCCCCGGACCCTGCATTCACTATATCCGGCTCTCCCCGGACCCTGTATTCTCTATATCCGGTCTCCCCGGAACCCCCCCCGCATTCACTATATCCACTCTCCCCGGACCCTGTATTCTCTATATCCGGTCTCCCCGGAACCCCGCATTCACTATATCCACTCTCACCCGGACCCTGTATTCTCTATATCTGGTCTCCCCACAGACCCCTCGCATTCACTATATCCGCTCTCTCCCGGACCCCGCATTCACTATATCCGCTCTTCCCGGACCCTGCATTCACTATATCCGCTCTCCCCAGAACCCTGCATTCACTATATCCGCTCTCCCCTGACCCTGCATTCCCCATATCTGGTCTCCCTGGACCCTGAATTCCCTATATCTGGTTTCCCCGGACTCTGCAGTCACTATATCTGGTCTCCCACAGTACACAGAACAGGGAAATGCAATTATTTTAGTAAATATAAACTGCTGAATACCTTTTCTCATCAGCAGTTAGAGCAGTCTTGTGACTTCAGCAGAACACTGGTTAAAGCTTGTAGGAGTTTTCTCTAGGAGGATAGAAATCCCCTGACTTCTGTCTGGACAGTGCTGATTGGCCCGATGCTGATCACATGCACTCTCCCAAGAAGAAAAAACCTATCTAGCAATAAACACCAAACTGAGCATGTGCATGGGGCTACGGATTCAGTTTGTATCAGGTGGTCATTTAAACAAGAGGAGGATCACAGAAGACAGGATCAAACAGCCTTTTTACACAATGCAGAGGATTAACCCCTTAGGTTCCACAGTGAGTATAACAAGCATGCTTTACTGCATATACAGACTGATTTTACTGTTGTGGGTTTAGTAACACTTTAAAGGAGAAATTCTGAAACCAGCAGCCTGAAAAATAATTCTCTTAGTACTTTACTCTCTGGTGAACATCGAGTCCGAACTTCACTCTCTTCAAGAGTTACAGCCTACAGAAGAGTCTTTACATCCAACAAACTTCCAGGTAAGTCAAATCACTGGTCCCCTACTGAGAACAGCGCACAGTGGGGTCCACAGGCATCTGACACCAGGACGTGTTGAATACTGAAGATTTTCCTGCAAGTCGGAGTCAAGTTTTGGATTTATTGCGCTCCAGAGAGGTAAGCATTAAGAGTTTTCCTGTTCAGGTTCCCTGTCTTTGAGCCGAATTAAGAGGATATTATATTCCAATAGTATAATCTCTTTAAAAGATCCTTTAGACCGGGGCTCGACAAATCCCAGGCGCCAGGTTGCCACGGCAACTAAAAAATTGAATCCCGGCACCTGGGCTTTGTCAGCCGTCCGCTGTAAGGTACCAGGACACTGCTCAATGATCCAGAGATTTGGCCCCTTCCCTGGTGTACACCCCGCACAGCTCTCAGGTAATCTGCTTTGAGCGCAAGTTTTGGCAGAGCATGCTGACTGCGCCCCCCCACCGCAGTGCATCCCCAGCTGGACCACATGGAACTGCACAGACCAGCGGCCGCCTTCAGCTACCTGAAACACATTGAAGGGGGAGGGGACATCACAGTCATGTGACCCCCTGCTCAAACTGTATACCCATACTCTGAATTCTCATGAGTTGTATTCTGAACATCCTTCCTACTGAAGTTTCTAAACCATGGGTGCTCAACCTGTGGCCCTCCAGGTGTTGTGGAACTACAAGTCCTATGAGGCATTGCAAGGCTAACAGTTACAAGCATGATTTCCAAAGGCAGAGGCATGATGGGAATTGTAGTTCCACAACACCTGGAGGGCCACACATTGAGCACCAATGGTCTACACCCTTTTCCTTCCCTTTCATCTCATGTGCCTTTCTCGCTTTCTTTATTTCCCCCTTTCATCTCATGTGCCTCTCACTTTTTTTCTTTCCTTTTATCTCATGTGCCTTTCTCTCTCTTTCCCTCTTTTCATCTCATGTGCCTCTCTGTCTCTCTCTTTCTTTTTTTCTTTCCTTTCATCTCATGTGCTTTTCTCTCTCTCTTTCTTTTCCCCCTATCATATCATGTGCCTTTCTCTCTGTCTCTCTCTCTCTCTTTCCCCCCTTTTGCCTCATGTGCCTCTTTCTTTCCTTTCATCTCATGTGCCTCTCTCTTTCTTTCCCCCCTTTCGCCTCATGTGCCTTTCTCTCTTTCTTTCCCCCCCATGTGCCTCTCTCTCTTCCCCCCTTTCATCCCCCCCATGTGCCTCTCTCTCTTCCCCCCCCCTTCACCTCGCGTGCCCCCCTCTCTGCCCCCCTTTCACCTCGCGTGCCCCCCCTCTCTCTGCCCCCCTTTCACCTCGCGCGTGCCCCCCTCTCTGCCCCCTTTCACCCTTGCGTGCCCCCCTCTCTGCCCCCCTTTCACCTCGCGTGCCCCTCTCTCTGCCCCCCTTTCACCTTGCGTGCCCCTCTCTCTGCCCCCCTTTCACCTCGCGTGCCCCCCTCTCACCTCGCGTGCCCCCCTCCTCTCACCCCCCCTTTCACCTCGCGTGCCCCCCTCTCTGCCCCCCTTTCACCTCGCGTGCCCCTCTCTCTGCCCCTCTTTCACCTCGCGTGCCCCCCTCTCTGCCCCCCTCTCACCTCGCGTGCCCATCTCTCTGCCCCCCTCTCACCTCGCGTGCCCCCCTCTCTCCCCCCCCCTTTCACCTCGCGCCCCCCCCCTCTCTCTCCCCCCCTTCACCTCGCGTGCCCCTCTCTCTGCCCCCCCTCCCCTCACCTCGCGTGCCCCCCTCTCACCTCGCGTGCCCCCCTCTCACCCCCCCTTTCACCTCGCGTGCCCCCCTCTCTCCCCCCCTTTCACCTCGCGTGCCCCCCTTTCATCTCGCGTGCCCCTCTCTCTCCCCCCCCTTTCACCTCGCGTGCCCCCCTCTCTCTTCCCCCCCTTCATCTCGCGTGCCCCCCTCTCTTCCCCCCCCTCATCTCGCGTGCCCCTCTCTCTCTTCCCCCCCCTTCATCTCGCGTGCCCCTCTCTCTCTTCCCCCCCCCCTCATCTCGCGTGCCCCTCTCTCTCTTCCCCCCCTTCATCTCGCGTGCCCCTCTCTCTCTTCCCCCCCTTCATCTCGCGTGCCCCTCTCTCTCTTCCCCCCCTTCATCTCGCGTGCCCCTCTCTCTCTCTTCCCCCCTTCATCTCGCGTGCCCCTCTCTCTCTTCCCCCCCTTCATCTCGCGTGCCCCTCTCTCTCTTCCCCCCCCTTCATCTCGCGTGCCTCTCTCTCTCTCTCTTCCCCCCCTTCATCTCGCGTGCCTCTCTCTCTCTCTCTTCCCCCCCTTCATCTCGCGTGCCCTCTCTCCTCTCTCTTCCCCCCTTCATCTCGCGTGCCTCTCTCTCTCTCTCCCCCCCTTCATCTCGCGTGCCTCTCTCTCTCCTCTCTCTTCCCCCCCTTCATCTCGCGTGCCTCTCTCTCTCTCTCTCTTCCCCCCCTTCATCTCGCGTGCCTCTCTCTCTCTCTTCCCCCCCTTCATCTCGCGTGCCTCTCTCTCTCTTCCCCCCTTCATCTCGCGTGCCTCTCTCCTCTTCCCCCCCTTCATCTCGCGTGCCTCTCTCTCTCTCTTCCCCCCCTTCATCTCGCGTGCCTCTCTCTCTCTTCCCCCCCCCCTTCATCGCGCGCGCGCGCCCCCCCCTCTCTCTCTCTCCTCTCTCTCTCTCTCTCTCTCCCCCCCCCCTTTCATCTCGCGCGCGCGTCATGCGTCTCTCCCCCCCTTTCATCTCTCTCGCGTGCGGCCGCCGCCGCCCCCCCCCCTCAATCTCTCTCTCTCTCTCCCTCTCTCTCTCCTCGCATCCCTCTCTCTCTCTCTCCTCTCTCTCTCCCTCTCCCTCTCCCTCTCCCTCCCATCTCGCGCGCGTCTCTCTCCCCCCCCTTTCATCTCACGCGCGTCCCGTGTGTCCCTCTCCCCCCCCCCCCCCCCTCTCTCTCCCTCTCCCCCCCCCCCCCCCCCCTCTCTCCCTCCCCCCCTCCCCCTCCTCCCCCCCCTCCCCCTCTCTCTCTCTCTCCCCCCCTCCCCCCCCCTCCCCCTCCCCCCCTCTCTCTCCTCCCCCCCCTCCCCCCCTCCCCTCCCCCCCCTCTCTCCCCCCCCTCCCCCTCTCTCTCTCCCCCCTCCCCCCCTCTCTCTCCCCCTCTCCCCCCCTCTCTCTCCCCCCCTCCCCCCCTCCCTCTCCCCCCCCCCCCCCCCCCCTCTCCCCCCCTCTCTCTCCCCCCCTCCCTCTCCCCCCCTCCCCTCTCTCTCAATCTCCCCCTCTCCCCCCCCCTCTCTCCCCTCTCCCCCTCTCCCCCCCTCTCTCTCTCCCCCCTCTCCCCCTCCCCCCCTCTCCCCCCCTCCCCCTCCCTCTCCCCCCCCTCTCCCCCCCTCTCCCCCCCTCTCCCCCCTCCCTCTCCCCCCCTCCCCCCCTCCCTCTCCCCCCCCCCCCCTCTCTCTCTCCCCCCCCCCCTCCCCTCCCTCCCCTCCTCTCCCCCTCCCCCTCTCTCTCCCCCTCTCTCCCTCCCTCCCCCCCTCCCCCCTCCCTCCCCCTCCCCCCCTCCCCCCCCCCCTCTCCCCCCCCCCCCCCTCTCCCCCCCCTCTCCCCCCCCCCCCCCCCCCCTCTCTCTCTCCCCCCCCCTCATCTCCCTCGCCCCCCTCCCTCTCCTCCCTCCCCCCTCTCTCTCCCTCCCCCCTCTCTCTCCCCCCCTCTCTCTCCCCCCCTCCCTCTCCCCCCTCTCTCTCTCCCCCTCTCTCTCCCTCCCCCTCTCTCTCCCCCCCCCCCTCTCTCCCCCCCCCCCCCTCTCTCCCTCTCCCCCCCCCCCCCTCTCTCCCTCTCCCCCCCTCTCTCTCCCTCTCCCCCCCCCCTCTCCCCTACCCCCCTCCTCCTCTCTCCCCTCTCCCCCCCCCCCCCTCCCCCCTCCTCCCTCCCCCCCCCTCTCCTCTCCCTCTCCTCCCCCCCCCCCCCTCCCTCCCCCCCCCCTCTCTCTCTCCCTCTCTCTCCCCCCCTCCCCCCCCTCTCTCTCTCTCTCTCCCCCCCTACCCCCCCCCTCTCTCTCTTTCCCCCCTTTCATCTCGCGCGTGCCTCTCTCTCTTCCCCCCTTTCATCTCGCGCGTGCCTCTCTCTCTTCCCCCCTTTCATCTCGCGCGTG